CCATTACCACATAATACACACACACACACACACTCACACACACACGACATACTCTCACACACACACACACACACACACACACACACACACACACACACACACACACACTGCGGTCAGGTTCGTGCGCTGACGGGCCAACATTAATTCAGTATGATGGATGTGTAATGGCTCGAAGTTTACAAACACAGAACGGAGTGACTTTAACTTACAGTAATAAACTGACAGCACAGCACTCGCTCCCAGTAAGAGCAGGAACATGAAGTGCGTCCAGTTTAACTCAAGGAGATCAGGGATTCCCAAAGCAGCAAAACCACCCAGAGATTTTACTTTACTCTTTTAATATCGTTTCATTTTTAGATTTTTTAAAGGCAACCCAACACAGATAAACAGCGGAGGAAAACTAATAAACATCACCATACTTTCCCAAGTTGATTAACCACAGTACAGGCAATTGTTTTTTATTACAATCTTTCTGAATTATGTTTAAATCTACAAATGATCCATTAACTAAATATGCACTCATTTGCATACATTCCCAGCACATCAATCTGAGCGCTGTATAAAGTCGGTAGCGCTGTTCGCTCGAAGAGACGTTTAAACAACTCCATCTGGAGCCAGAAGAGCTTGAACACGCACCGCTACCCAGAAGCCTCTGCTGCGGCCGCGAGGTCACCGCCGCTGAGCGCACAAGCGCTGTGGACGCCACACAAACCAAACACAGAAATCCAGGATAAAGACATCTTTCCTGTGGTCTGAAACCCTGAGAGACATTTCGAGAAGGAAACTTGGCCTTTCCTGAGACTGAAACACGCTTGCACACACAATGCTAAACGCCTCGCATCTCTTGCTAAATGAAGCGCTGCGTTCAAAATATCACAAACACATCTCAAAAGCAAACACCTTTGCCATAATATTAATTCCTGTTAGATTTGTGTGAAACTCTGAAGTAGAAAGACTCAAATATACTCCAAAAATCTTTGAAAAATCATTTTTTGTTTGCCGTTTTCTGTTCAAAACTTCACTAAACATTATTTACAGCATGCCAGCCATCCCATAATCACAATAAGCTTTGTTTTTTATTAGTTTTAACATGCAACAAAGTCTCCACGTTCGGACTCTGTCAATTTTATCATGAAAATCAATCAGTAAAGGTGTGTGCTGATAGATCGCCGATCATCTCTTCCTCTTTACTACTAGTTATAGCAGCAAATAAACATGAACGAACATCAGAAGCATCAGAACAACTCAATCCTGAATCACAGAATCCATCAAATCCGCTGAAAGACGAGAATAAACAGCTCATAACATCACATGTACCTCAAGAAAGACATCCGATGACCATAAACTCAACAGTCAGCTAGAAAAATAACTCTAGCCTAGGTTTAAAGGTTTATATTTCAACAACAAATTGGATTTTATTATTGATATGGATTTTATATTGCTTTGAAAGACATCCGATGACCATAAACTCAACAGTCAGCTAGAAAAATAACTCTAGCCTAGGTTTAAAGGTTTATATTTCAACAACAAATTTTATTATTGATATGGATTTTATATTGCTTGTTTAAATCATATAAGCTCATTTGAACATTTTGGCAGCACAATCTATATTTGCATATGCAAATCAGCACATTATTATGATTTCTGAAGATCACGTGACACCGAAGACTGGAGGAATGATGCTGAAAACACAGAGAGAACAGATATTTTACATCTTTTAAAAAATATAAGAAACGTGCTGACCCCAAACTTCTGACCGTCAGTGAAGCCTATATATATATGATTATACAGTAGCATACAGTATGGTGTTTATTGATGCATATCTCCATTAATATGCAATGCTATTTTCATCTAATCTATGGCGCGCGCATGTAAACGAGCGTGATGAATACAGCATGCATAAGCGATGTAGTGACGCACAACTCAATCTGATCAGAAATCGATGGCTTCTGATCGATTTCTCTCGTGCTGTGTACCTTCCCCGACGCTCCGTCCCCCAGCAGCACGAGCTTCAGCTGCCGCTCCTGGGCCTCCTCCTCAGAGTCCGACATCCCGCAGACACCGACACCGACACCGACACCGACACCGACGCGCTCCCGTTAAACACCGACCCCAGCAGCACGAGCTTCAGCTGCCGCTCCTGGGCCTCCTCCTCAGAGTCCGAAATCCCGCAGACACCGACACCGACACCGACACCGACACCGACACCGACACCGACGCGCTCCCGTTAAACACCGAGCGGCGGAGCTGATAATCTGATCACGAGCCGCTCGCCGCCATCTTTCCTCGGCGCAAACCAACACAGCTTCATCAGCGCCACCGCGGGCCGAGCTTCAGACACGCGTTACAGCCGCTATATAACGGCATCATCTCATAAATATAGAGTTAAACTCAGCTGTTAACCGTTTAGTGTTTAATTCTGGAGCGAGCGCGATTTACTGTGTTTGTGTGAACACCCCCCCCCCCCCCCCCCCCCCCCCCCCGCCAGGCGGCGGGCCGC